CCTCCCCCCTCCCTGCAGCCCCGCGCGCGCCACCGGCTCCCGTGCCGAGCGGGGCCGCGCTCCCAACTCGGTGCTGAGCTGGTCCGTGCCGAGCAGGTCTGAGCCCCCACGTGCTGCAGGTTTCCCTGGAGGTCACCAGGGCCCTCCGGGAGCCGCTTTCCCTGCAGCCGGTGCCAGGACACCCGGCTGTGTCCGTGCCTGGAGCTGCTGGGGGCTGGGGCAGCTCCAGGAGGAGGAAGAGGAGGAGGAGGGTTGGTGCAGGAGCGAACGCTCGCCCTGCTCCGTTCTCAGCGCACCAGCCAAGGTCACGGTGCTTTTCCTGCCGTTCCTGACCAGCAGAGAGGCCAGCGCGGCTAGGAGCCGCCAGGGCCGCGGCGGCCGTGAGACGGGTGCTTTGTCTCCAAGGAGGCTGGGGGACTCATGCCAGGAACAGCTTTAACTTGGCCAGGGGAAGAGGAAGACGCGTCCGCCAAGAGAGGGAGCGCGGCCGAGCAGGTGACGGAGAGCCCGGAGCGCCGCCCCGGCTGCAGCGCCGGCGGGATCGGGTGCCCGTGGGCCCTGGTTCCACTCAGGGTTCCGGGCACGTGCCCTTGAGTGGGACAGTCAGTGGTGGCTGCGGGTGTGCGTGTCCCTGCCACGCTGCAGCGTACCCGGGGGCTCCGCCGGACCCCCATCCCCAGGCCGTGTTTCCCGAAGGATCCTCTCCTCCAGGAGCGGGCGTTCGATGCCAGCTGCAATAGCGTTTTCCCTGCCAGGGGCCGGAGGGACGTGCCCCGGGCTCCCCTCGCATCCTCTTGATGTCTGTGCCGTCTCCTTCCCCCCTTCCCAGGTCTCCTCCCCAACTATCCATCCACCCAACCGTTCCCTGCCCATGTAGTCCCTGTGCTTAAGTTGTCGCACGCGGAGGAAGAGGAGGGTGAGTGTCATCCCTGTGCTCCCGTCTCGTAGCTCCCCCTTTCCCCTGCTCTGCCTGTGTGTCCTGGTGTGTCCCTGCCCCTCGTGGCGGGTGCCAAGGGGGATGTCCAGCTCCCCGTGGCGGTGCAGGTGGCTAGTGTGTGCATGCATGCACGTGCATGCATGGGTGCGCGCATGCATGTGCATGTGCAAGCAAGGGGCTGCGGGAGGGAGGTAGAGGGGACGAATGGGCTCTCGGACCCAGGTCCCCTCACGAGGCGGTCTTGCCTCCCAGGGCCGGACACTCAGGCTGTAGCTGACGCCAGCGACCTGGAG